AAGGGTAGGACCACCGCCAACACCGGACCAGACGGGCCACGGCTCTGTCTAACCCGGCTGTGAAGCCCTCCAAGGATGGAGATCTCCTCCTCTCTGGTGACCCATTTCTGGGCTGCATCGTGCTCCTCATGAAGAATTCCCCCCCGGCTCCATGTCCAATCTGAACCTCCCCAGCACCAAAAAGAGGGAGTAACTCAAGTAAAACTCAATCACAACAAAATAAGGTAGCTGTTTGCTGGAGGAAGGGAGAAAACGCTATTCATTTATCAAAAGAGAGTGTTAAAAGCTTAACTACCTGTCTTTAAAAAGAAGCCAAAGCACTGATCCATAACCAAACAACAAATACACCACTTCTTCATCTTGATTTGTGTAGAGGCAAAGCTATGGGCACAAAAGGCATTCTTCTTCAAATAAAATCCATTTTAAAACTTGGCAACTGCCAGTATAAATACTTCACACTGTTAATATAAGCATTTCCACGCAGACGTTTCATCAGCTTAACAACGTATTTAAAAAAGCTGGCGTAACTTCTGTGTAAAAGCACCATCAGTCTTTGTCTTGTATATCTTACAGCGCTCCAGTCGCTAAATTACCACTGAGTGCTATCAGCGTCAGACCCCACCTCCCCGTTAAGACTCACAAACTTCTCTCAAGAGCAATGCAGAACCAAAACTATTCTTCTAGAACTTATTTTCTTTACATTTGGAAATGGCCACAGACTCCAGATAGGTTTTTATCGATTACAAGTGGTGTAATGGGCCCAGCAATTTTAATTCCAGCTAAGTCAAGCCAAGAGTCCAAAACTTTTCCTCCCATGTTTACATACAACATTCAGTAGCTGCTTTTTTCCAGCAACCAACTTCTCATGAAGCTCCAGTAGTCCAAGATGCACATGCTGCCTCTCCAGTTAAAAGCAGCATCGGTAAAACAGTAACCCACACCTTGAACTTTTTAACCACAGACCGCTCCTGCATCAGCATTTGTGATTTTGCACCCCCAGTTCTCCCCGTGTTTGGTGCAGTTAATACAGATGCCTTCACCACACAGTCTTGAGTCAGAAGTGTGCAATTTAATATTTAATTATGAACGAAGCAGCAAACCTCAAAATTAGATCTGCCAGCTAAATTTTACCTTCTTCATGATGCAGGCCCAGCTTCTGACCGCTGGACCCTTGATGCTACCTAAGCAATGGAGAGATCCCGCACCTTCCCCAAACCAGCCTATGCTGTTCCTCTCCACGTTACAGTTCATCATGGCACCGCCTCAGACCACAGGTTGTCACATCTCTCTAAAAAGCTCCTTCAGTTGTTTCTCCACTTACTTTCTCTGCATACCCTGTTATGAAGAAGTGCTGGCTGTATGTTTCGGGGAGACCTGCTCTCATGTGTGTCCAGGGAGGCTGCCAGTACATGGGCACCAAGTGTGAGGACTCTCCTGGTGGTTTCTACCAGCCCTGGTGGAGAACTGCATCACCCATCCTTTTCATTTGAACCACCAACACTTGTGAAATGCCACGTGAGCTAAGCCAGCTCAGCACTCTGGAAATTAAAGCTTACATGATGTAGCCCGCTTCCTTTAAAAAAAAACCCAAGCCACACATATATCAAAGCCCCCTTTGGGATATTTCTCCATCCATGCCTATCAGCTCCACCACAATATTCCCAGATGTCCAACAACTGGAGACCTCACATACGTCCTCTCACCACCATCCTCCAGGTCTCCTTTTCAACACATTGTGCATTTCATGACATGGGTCAAAACCCAAAACACCTGGCAGAACCAACCTACATCTTCCAGCTTGCTTGTCTTTCAGAAGGGACGAAAGCAGAGCTGCTCACACGTAACACCATTACGCTTTCCACCACGGGAAGAGAGCAAAGGCAACGGCTGCGAGCGCTGCTCCCCAGTGCTTTGGGAGTGGGAGGGGAACCCCCTTCTGATGCAAAGCTAAAGAGATGGCAGAAGAAACCCACCCCAACAAAGGACACAACTGCAACCTCTCACCACCAAACACCAAATTTCCAGCTTTTTAAGACGTGCACGTCTTCCTGGAGCGCTCAAAACCCAGGCTGCAGGGCGGTTCTCAGGCACAGGTTTAATTTCTGCTTTTCGGATCTGAGGAACGCTGTCCCGGCGTGTCAGAAGAAGGTTAATGAACGATTTAGCCGCCCTCACAACCACGTTAGTGTCACTTTCGGAAGCTGCGAGTTAATGCCCGAGATCTTCGGGGGTTACCCTCTTTGAAGTTCACTGATCCATAACCAATGTCCAATTAATTTGCAGGAGCCTAACTATAATGACTATTGGCCTTTTCCTACGCATACAAAAACACAGTGGGTAACGGCGATGCTTTTGGCTTCGGGATATTCTCACATATGCACGCACATTTGCACACCTTCAAAATACCCAACGCTAATAACGGGTTGTCTGCCATTTGAGGAATTTTTTACGTTTGCTCTCCTGAGAGCAGAGCTACTGCGTCAAGATTTATGAACTTTCTGCTGCAAAAAATTTGGAGCCGATTCAAGATGCTCATTTGCTAAGAGAGAAATACTTCTACTGCATTTGCTCAGATTCCTCTTTATTTAGGGTTTCCATGGAAGCCAAGGAATAGAAGTTCAGTCTTGGGAAGATTAAACAGGCCCTCAGATATAATGCAAAACAGCTTATTTCAACATTCCCTCGAGAACAGAAACGAGAAATTCTTCCACACATACACACACACACAAAAAAAAGGTTTGTGGAAATTTTCACAATAAATTGGGATCCAGCCTTTCAAATGCTGCACGCAGTTATCGCTTCTTGCCGCAAGCAGCTCTGCTGGCTTCCAGTGCTCTTACTCAGGTGAGAAAGTAAATGAACAAAAAGGTCTGCAGGATAAAGATACTACAGTTTAAAAACCAACCTATTCAAGAGAGTTATTGCTATACAACATCCGGGAAGTAAGTTAATTCAACCACAAAGTCTTGCACAAAGAGGAACAATCACCTCATAAATTAGTATCTCAGCAGATTTTTTTAGAATAAAAAACTACAGAGACAAAGCAGTTCAGCAGCATCTTCCATCGCGATGCTCCGGATGCTACTAGAGCTGACATATCAACATTTCAAAATTAAAATAAATCACTTCTCTTCAGTTACTTCAGGCTGAGAAATGGCTCCTGCACTGGTGAGAACGGCAAATGTTTCTGTGCCTCCCTACCCGACAGGTCAACGGACCGCCCCCAGCCACAATGACAGGCTGTCGGACACTATAAATTAATAGTAACGCATTTTTTTCTGACCTCCATCCCCCAGGTAAAGATTTATTTCATGTTGTTCCAATCTGGTATGAAAACACCCAAGACCGAGGAACCCTACTCCCCAACGCTTCTATTTCACAGCACATTTCTTAAACCGTTTTCAAATCTGGCACGGATATATTCAGGTAACGGGGGAAGTGCATCTGTTTCTGAAGCCGGAGCTGAGAAGCGCAGGGTTGCACGCAGGTTTTTGCTACCTGCTCTAGTAAGGAAACTAAACACAGCTGAACCTCAAAAATAAGTTATTTTCAACCTTAAAGCCATTATCACTTAAATAGTTACTTAAATCGTAGACTTTTCTAATCCTTCACTTACGGTGAGTACCTGACTGCTCAGTGAAAACGCACTTCAAGAAACATTCAAGGTTTTTATTAACTCCACGGGAGAGTCCCAGGACTCTGGGATTTTGTTTTTCCGACTCCTGATTAAAACAGCGGGAGTCCACACGAATTCCCTTTTTCCCCCCCCTCCACTCCCCAAGTTTCACATGCAACATCCCCTCCTCAAAATCTAGAAGAAAAAAAGAATCACACCGAAAACATTTTGCCAGCTGAAAGGCGCCGAGACCTTGCGCGGGGCGGGATGCGTTTCCAGCTGCCAGCCTAAAGGGACGGCCGAGGGAGATTAAACACAGAAATGCTTTTCATAAGGCAGACGGCTTTGAAGAGGACAGTTCAGCTACTTCATTTCGTAATCTTCACAAAGCGTCAGATTTTAGCCTAAGCAGGTCTTAAAACAAGGAGATTTTATTTAAAAAAAAAAAAAAAAGAAAAAAGTAGGAATGTGTTCTGGCCGGGTTCTGTTGATTCAGCAAGGGTTAGACACACACACGCTTATTGATCCCAGAGAGCTCCCTGCTAAGTTAATTGTCTGGAATTTTAACTGAGCTCTCAGCAAGTTTCAAAATCCATGTTGGCTGGAAGTGGGTGGGGGACCCAGAAAAAAAACAGGCTGCAAAACTGTGCAACTCCTCCAGTTAAAAAAAAAAAAACCAACAAAACAGCAATTACTTTGATGAAGGGAAAAGCTGCAGCAGGGAACGGTTTTAACTGGATTCAGTGATTCTGACTTTGACACCGCTAGAATTTGGTGCTGGGAAGCTGGTGTGCAAAGCAGCGCTGTTTTCAGGGAGCTCTGTGATCCCCGATTGACCCATATAAACATGACAGAGGTGAGGGTATCTCCGGCAAGCTTCCTGCAACCTCCAGTTCTGGCTCATCGCAACAATTTCCTGGTGTATTTACAAGAAGTTCTACCGTGAGCTGTACTCGTCTGCGTTCCTGTAACTGAACAGTGACCTGCTGCCGGTGCAGGCTATGGCCAGCCTGAAACTGCAGCTCGCTCGACTCCCTGCCTACGTACGAGCACTGCCCGCAGCTCTGCACTGCCCACCAAGCCCTAGCTGCCTCCAGACCACGTCCAGCAGCAGTTTCCCTGGGTAAGGAACGTGCTGCCGGGATGATTTGGGGCACTCAGACAGGAACGGCCGAAGACACCCTTAAAACAACCCGCGACTGCTTTCAAATAGAGCCTTGCATTCCACCAAAGCGCCCGCACGACACCATCCCGTACCGATGCGGGTGCTCCCCACCACCCAAGGTCCTCCAAGGCTTTCCATCATCCCCGCCCCCGTGGCGGCTCCCTGGTCCATTCCCTGGAGGCACCCCCCAGAAGGGACGCTGCCCCGGCGCTCGCCTACCTGAACTCCCTCCCCTCGCTGTAGCGCCGAGCCGAGGCGGCGCGCTGGGTGGCTGTCTCCAGGAGCAGCTTCTGCGTGAGCCTGCTGGAAGGTGCCGAGTCCCTGCTGGCCTCAGGCTCGGCCTCTTGGTCACATTTCCACTCCTCGTCCTCATTCAGAGTTGGCAGATAACCGGGGAGCCCTTTACCTGTCCCAGACCCCGAGCTCGGATCGCTATAAATTTTTGGACTTTCCCCACCTGTCCTCGTGTATTCCAAATAAATATCCGACTTAAGGAACAAAGGGTAGGTATTGTCTTCTATCATGCACTGAATCTCTGTTTGGGCCTGGTCAAACATGTCGGGGTCAATCTGCAGTTTCATGACGCAGTCTTTGATGAAGCTTTTTGTGGCCGGTTTGATCTGCCGGGACACAATGCCATTGTTGTCGAGGATGTATTTTTTGTAAATGGCTTTTGCCAGCTTGAGTCTTTTTTCCTCATTAGACGTGCACGGCTCCAGCTTCCTGAAGCCACTGCAGGCGAACCAGAAGTCCAGCAGATCCGCGCAGTCCTCCTGTTTCAGGAAAGTCCTGAAGAGGTTGATACCGTCTTGATCATCCAGCAAGGAGTGCAGCGACTCGGCCCACTTCAGGTAGGGTGGAGTTGGCGAAGCACTCCCCTCGGGCTCGTACCCCAAATCCAAATCAGAGCGCCTCGGCGTTGCCGTGGACGTCTCATTTCTAACCACATCGCTTTTACCGGAGTAGAAACCGTGGCTAACTGGCCTCGGATCCGTGGACACGAGTTCCCCCTCCTCACCAGGAACCGGTGGCCTCGGAGCATCTTCAGTGAAGCTTCCTCCAAGGTCCAAGGGGAAGCCTTTCCCCTGGATATTCATTTTTCTGGTCCTTGCTTGCGCAGGAACAGTGGGGAATGAGCTCAAATCTCAAATCACCAATATTTGTAGCTCCAAGGTGAACGAGTTTGTTTGGCTGAAACAGATGAGAAAAAAAATCAGTGAATATCACTGTAAATAAACACTCTAAGATCACAAACCACTAATTTTGCTCTGCCCCATTGCTGTATCAATGCCTCTTTTTGGGCAGAATCAACGGCAAAGCTCTCAGTGGCTTCAGGGAGCACAGAACTGGGCTCAAACCAGGCACCCTCTAAAAATGAAAGTTACAGAAGATCCCAAAACTTTACAGCCAGCACTCGGCATCACTGATACGGCCGGCGCTACGCTAGAAACAGCGGCCAATTTCACAGCACTGGCGGTTTTACAGGACCCTGGGGTCTGGCAGTCCCCACATCCAAAAGACCTACAGGCAGGTACCGCGCGGTGCCACCGGACCCACGCCATCTTCTGCGCTGCCATTAAGTCCTCTGCACAGCCTACCTGGACAGCACGCGCACCACGTCATACTAAGGCAGCATGTTTTTATCTGGCTACCCATCTAGCAAATTCTCATCCCCAAACAGGAATCTAAAGCTTGTGAAAGAATATTTTGAAAGAATATCCAGCGAGTCCCGAAAGCAAGACTGCACCTTAATCAAACACAGGTGGCTTTCGTACGCTCAAGTGACATACCAGCGCCACATTCCTCGCAAATCTCTGCCTTTTAGAAATAACGCTGCTGCGTCGCCTCGTCTAGCTCTAGGGGAATCCAGATGCATCGTTGACCCCAGTATTTTGGGCATCTGGACTGCATTCTTGCTTCAAATGGGCACGTTAGCACAGGAGCTCAGGTCTGGCACTGGTTTTCATAGACAGGCCATTGAGAAAAGGTTCATTTACGCTAACAACATTGCACGCAACGAGCCTGAGAAAATTTCAGGTCATGAAAGGAAGATGAGAAAACCATCTCGAGAAGGAAATCTGATCAAGTACACTGTTTTTAAAGAAGAGCAACGAGTCAATATGGAGGATGGGAGGTGTGGGGGAAGGAGGGCAAGGACAATCCCCGGGCTGCGCCTTCCGCCGCTCAACAAGGTAACTCCACGATTTAAAGGCAGTAGAAAAAGTCTTGTTTTACAGAACAGCATCAGCCTCAAAGCCCCCAGCACCACAAGGCACCAGCCGCCCGACAAATCACTCCTTCCACTGGCTTGACTCAACTGCATGTGAAAATATACCAGGGAAGGCACACTTAGCTCGGCCTCCCTCGCGAAGCTCACCCCACTCCAACAAACACGTCCTTGGGATGCTTGGCTGTTTTCCCACCGTTCCCTCTGCCCAGCTGAACCAAGAACCACTGCCTATGTCGCGCCTGTCCTCACAACCCACCTGCGCATCGTGAAACGAGCCCAGCGAGCCCAGGAGCGGCCGGCGACCACGGCCAGGCC